GCCTATCTGGACTACCAGACCACTCTAGGCGGCTTCCAATACAAAATCAAACAATAAAACACAGGTAAGTACGTGACAATTCAGTAATAACTACAATGAAATAAAGGGTAGGGAAAAGTAAGAGAGAGAAAAAATCAAGAGTTGGCTGGAGGGAAGGCCTGAATGAACAACCATGTTTTCAATTGGGTTTTAAAGATGCCCAGCGTAGGTGCCGCGCGAATCTCCGGAGGGAGATTCTTCCAGAGGCGAGGAGGTTATAAACTGTTACAGATCCATTTAAGCAGAAGCAAGTAAACTGTATCATGAGTCTTACCTTCCTGCACCAGTTTAACTCAGATCTCTTTGTTGATCAATGAGAATAACAGAAGGGACCAAGGAGCACTCTGACTCTCATAATCCCATTCACATCATGAATGCTGGGAAGTATAGTCCAATATCACACCTTTCTCAGGTTATATCTCACTGGCTTACCTGCTGTAAAAGTTTAGCATTATAATTCTTAAGTAATTCTACAGCAATTTTCCAGGTATAAAGAATATTTAAAACCCTAGCTTTAGTTATCCTCTTGACAGCCTATGCCAGCGATGGCAAACCTATGGCACGTGGGCCACAGCTGGCATGAGGAGTCCTTTCTGGCAGCACGTGAGTTATAGGTTGCCAGACCGCTACTCTGCCCACCCACCCCCACACAGCCAAACCCGAGAAGGTGGCTGCAGTCACAGTGCTGGCGCTTCGGCGGGCGGATCTGAAGCACCTGGTACTGGCAGCGGGTCTAGAGTGGGGTCTTGAGGCACCTTTGTGCCAGGATTACCCCTTCCGCCACGACTTCCACCTCCCGCTATTTTATTTTTTTCCAGCACGCAAGCCCAAAAAATTTCGCCACCACTGGCCTATGCCATAATTGAATGTGGATTTTTAAAGGATGGTTGTGTTTTACTGCTTTGAATGTGTTTTCAATTTTGCTTTTGTTCACTGTCTATTAGTGCAATATTTCTTTTATTCTTTTTAGAATTTGTAAACTTACTGTATATAAATACATTACGTATTTATACACAGTAAGTATTTTATATATGAGCTGTATTTATATACAGCTCGCATGCCCAGGGAGAGGTCTCTGTGTGCCAGCTGTGGCAGACGTGCCATAGGTTTGCCGTCACTGCTCTAGCCCATGAAGTCTCTTTACTTTTATTCTAGGCCATTAAATTGATTTGCTTTCCCTTATCTCATAGTGGATGTGCCAATTGCCAAAAAATACAGAGAAAGCTGGTCATTTTTCTTCTCTCTGTTCTCCTGTCAAGACAAAGAAAGAGAAGTCAGATACAAATATATTCTCTGCAAAGATTCAGAAAGACAACTAAAACAAGACATTGACTGTTAGCCCTCCCCAAATTAGTGCCCTTCTCCTGTTTTGGGTGACAACACTGATCATCCTTGACTGGCTGAATCTGATGCTGTTAGTAGCTTAAAATTCTACACCTAAAGTGAAGCGTACAGGAGGAAGGGGACACCTCTGTCTAGTTCCTTGGTCAAGAGACATCTGCTCTGGTGTTCCATCATTTACTAACACCACTGCAGAGGTTTTTTGAATACAGTTGTTCCAGTATTCTTTGGAGCATTTACCAAAACCTAGTACTTAATGATCATTTTTAATGTTGGCCATTCCACTGAATCAAATGCCTTTAAAATATCTTTCTTTCTTTCTTTCTTTCTTTCTTTCTTTCTTTCTTTCTTTCTTTCTTTCTTTCTTTCTTTCTTTCTTTCTTTCTTTCTTTCTTTCTTTCTTTCTTTCTTTCTTTCTTTCTTTCTTTCTTGCCTGCCTGCCTGCCTGCCTGCCTGCCTGCCTGCCTGCCTGCCTGCCTGCCTGCCTGCCTGCATGCCTGCCTTGTAAACCATTTCCATTACTGCTGAGGCACTACTCTGTGGGGTTTACAATAAGTAAAACATCAGAAGAGATAGAAATAACATACTAAAGACAATAAGAACAGATAAATGAGTGCATAACTATGGAAATAACTACAAAAACAGATGGTACCAACCAAAATGCACAGAACAAAAGTGGATGAAGAACTGGTGGTCAACTAGGGTTGGTGTGAAAAATCTCCCTGAAGAGCCACTTCTTCAGTCACCTCCTAAATACAGTATCCAGGAGGAGGGGGCCAGGTGAAGCTATTCCAGGAGCTTGTTCCACAAGGTCGGAGCCACCACAAATAAAGCCCTACATCTTGTAGAAGATCTATGGGCCTCCCCTAAGATAGCGAACTAGAGGACCCTTGCCTGTGATGAACTAGTGGATCGGGCAGATGATATTGACGAAAGATGCTGTGACAAGTAACATGGACCCTAACTGTGGATGGCCTTATATGTAAGTATCAAAACTTCAAACCTGGTACAGCATGTGAAAGTATACCTGCCTTGACCTTTTGTTTTAATATTAAATTTATTAAATTTAATACTCTCCTTGTAAGTATCAAAACTTCAAACCTGGTACAGCATGTGAAAGTATACCTGCCTTGACCTTTTGTTTTAATATTAAATTTATTAAATTTAATACTCTCCTTGCGAGGTTGGGCATTTGCCATAAAGCCAGTTTGATCCTCTTTAGTATATTTAATAATAAAACTATTCATTTGCTAATATTGCTGTGAATAATTAACATCCTGGTTTATTAAAGAAATAGGTCTAGAAGCCTTGGCGTCTATTCTTTTTCAAAACTAATATAATTATCTATTGTTTCTGTGACAATAGCATATTTTCTCCCTCCATTATTTTATTTAAAAGGAACTTTAGTTTAGGTACCAATATATTCTTAAAAGTGTTGTAGTACTCTGACCCTAATTCATAAATTCCTGGTGTCTTCCCCACTTTTAATTAATGATCACTTCCTCTGTCTCTTCTTCCTTTATCGGTTGCTCCATTACATTTCTATCCATTTCTTGAAATGTACGCCCCCATTTTTTTCTACATATTCCTTAATTCTTTCTGGAGATAATGTCCTCACAGTATACAATTTATTTTAAAAATCTGGGAAGATGTTTAATTGATCTCTCATCAAATTGCATATTATACCTCTATCATTTTTAATTGCTACAAAGAGATTCTTAGCTTTTTTAGCTTGTGTAGTTCTGGTCAGCATTCTTGAATTTTTATTACTAAATTTAAAGTACTCTTGTTTTTAATATACTGTATTAGGTTCTTGTGATGTTTTTCTATTTCTATATTCTCTAATTCCATTTTTTTGGCCATAATTTCTGCTGTAATTTTCCAAGCTTTTATCAAGTGTCTCATAAGGTAATATTTTCCTCATCTAGAAAGAAAAATGTTTTAAATCAAACCCACTCATCCCTATTACTCAACACATGATGAACACAACTTTCATATTACTTCTCAGTTGCATTCCGTATGGATCAAATGACAATAATTGTGACAGTGAGAAATAAAGTATTTCAATAGATTTTAAAGACATTCTACATTAAAAATGGATTCGAAAATTTCTTAACAATTTTCTCATACCTTAGTTACAGTGAAGGAGTTAACAAAGTACTGTAATATTCTTTCAAGTTCATTCAGTTATATCTGAAACACATATATTAATAAAACTACAGAACAGACCCTTATACAATGTTTTTTACTGGCAAGCTCGTGGCTTGAGAAGCCTGCTGCTTTCAGACTTTAGGGTTTTTTTTCACTCCCCATTTAGCTGCACTACAGTATTTTTAAAGGCCATAATAGATTTGGAAAGAATCTCAATGGTTATCTGCTACAATTCCCTGCTGGTGGAGGACCTCTCTGCTACACATAGATCAAAGGGCCACCAGGCAAACCTCTGAGCTTCAGTGCCCTCTGAGGTAGTCTGCTCCTTAGCTTTGTAATACAGAGCAGATAATTCACCGTTCCCAACTTACTGAGTAGCAGAATTTGAGAGGGCTGCCCCTACCATTTGGCAGAGTGAGCTAGCCACCAAAGACATGCATTTTTGAGTGTGGTGAAGCAGGCAGAATAGTAGGCATCCTTCAATCTCAAGAGACTATGGTAACGTGCTCTGAACAGAGGTCTTGCAACAGCGTCCAGTGTGGCTGAGAAGGCCGATTCAAGAGTGACAATCCCTTCCACACTGAGGACAAATACAATCTGTCCCCTGTCCAGCTCCCTGATTTTGCTGCTTTCGGGACTACCTCTTTGCCTCAGCCTGCTGGAAAAGGGTCTCTTCAAATTGGGAGATGCCGTGATGCACCGCCTGCCTCCAGGCTGAACGCTCAGATGTCAGGGATTCCCATCTGTTGAGGTCCATTCTTAAGTCCTTCAGATCCCGCTTTGCAGATATCCTTGTACTACAGCTGTGGTCTCCCTCTGGGGTGATTTCCCTGCACTAATTCTCCATACAGGAGATCTTTTGGAATCCGACCATCATCCATTCTCACGATGTGCCCAAGCCAACGTAGACGTCACTGTTTCAGCAACATGCTAAAAATTCCAGCTTGTTCTAGGACTACTCTATTTGGAACGTTGTCCTGCCTGGTGATGCCAAAAATGCCTCGGAAGGAGGCAACGCATATGGAAGGTGTTCAGCTTCCTCTCCTGCCATGCACAAAGGGTCCAGGACTCACTGCAGTACAGGAGTGTGCTCAGGACACAGGCTCTATAGACCTGGATCTTGGTACAGTATTTGCCTTCAGCTTCTTATTAAGCCATACTCTCTTTGTGAGTCTACAGAACATGGTAGAATAAAGAGTGTTATTTTTAGTGATATTTTTATGCACAGGAAGAGGCAGCTGTGCAATCTTCTGCCTCAAGCACCAAAATAACTTGACTTGCTGTGGGCACCATCCAGAAGAGGTATGTTTGTTACTCTCCCTACAAGGGAAACCATTAAGGTGGGTGGGGAGATATTTAAGCCCTCTCACACAGGAAACTGTTACATTCAAGAATATATGGCAGGTGACTTCCCTGTTAAGGTGGGCTCTTCAATAGACAGCAGTCCTTAATTTCAAGGGCTGTCAGAGGCCACTCCTTCTTTTTGAAGGCACCCTCCCTTTAACAGCCCGCCCAGTCCAAATCTGATCCAAAGACAGAAAACTCAGAGGGAAATCAGGTCGAGGTTAGCCAGATCCAGGAGCAGCAAAATCAGCAGGCGGGTAGGTTACCCAGTCCTTGCCTTCCCCACTTTTTCTAATGCATTGCAATTCTATCAGCATTATAAAAATACAGTACAGTACACTAATTTTGTACCCGGGGCTCATGTTATCATATGCAATTTTATGCAAAGCAGTGTCCTCTATCCGTGTGTGTGTGTGTGTGTGTGTGTGTGTGTGTGTGTGTGTGTGTGTGTGTGTGTGTGTGTGTGTGTGTTGGAGCGCATACTCATTTATAAAAATTTTTTTTTTTTAAAATACATTTTTTGCACTCGATCGTTCACTTCACAACTGACCGACCGCACTCCCTGCCCCGCCACCTCATACAACAGTCAGCCGGCCTTTTTTCAGTGACAAATTGTGCAGCCAGCAGAGGGCTCTGATGATAATCCAAAGGAGGGAGAGGAATCTGCCCTAGCGATCGACGCATTCTTCTCCTTCCGTCCACCCTCTGACCACAGAGAGCGTTTTTTTATTTTTTATTTTTTGTGACGGGAGGGGGGACGTCTTTGGTGGAGACGCTGCGCGGAAAAGCTTGCCCGGGGACCCCGGACGGTCGCTGCGGGAAGAGCGGTCGTGGCGGCTACCGACGGCGTTAGCAAGCCAGAGGCCCGGTTTCCAGTTGCCTTGGCTGCAGCCGACCCAGGTGAGGACTGCTTCTTGGCCCCGGCAGCCATTACCGCCCAGTTCCTCTTATATACTTGAATAGATGCGAAGGGTGGGGCCGGGAAGGCTGGTTAGACAGCGAGTAGGCGGCCGAATAGGGTTTTTTTTTCTTTTGGGGTTAAAGTGGCTAGGAGGAAGGCAAATATTTGCCTGTCCCACCCAGCCAGGCGCCAGAGATCGAGTCACTAGGAAGGCGCGGGGCGGGGGAGGGGGGCATGTGGCCCTTGTGCAGCAGCCGAAGCCAAACATCCACATCGGGTCACTAAAATATTAAAAAACTGGCGAGCTTTCGAGCCCAGCAAGACACTTGGCCAGGCGATTCATTATAGGGCTGCAGGGCTGAGTTGGGGGGGGGAGGGAAGAGGCGGCGAACGCCAAAAACCTATTGCAGTGTTTGGATCTGTGTTAAAGTAAGGTCCCAAGATGGAGACTCCCGACTTGTTGCGTCGGCTTGTGGTGTTAGGTTTCTCCAGAGGGAGTGAAGTAGGGAGTGTTTTCCCCCCCCCACTGCTGTAGCCAAGACACATAACATGAGTGTATATATGGAATCAGGATGATTTGTGTGGCTCTTACACCTGCTCTTTCTTCAGCCCTTTCCAAGGGCTAGTAACAAAAACAACAAAGTCTTCTGGCACTCTCAAGACAAATATGTTCTGTTTGGGATAAGGATTTGTGGAATTTAGCTTAAAGATAGCTGGAGAATTTTGGAGCTGCAGTCCACAAACGCGTATGCTAAATAAAACAGGTTAGTCTGTAAAGTAACACCAGACTCTTAATGATCTTTCTTCAAAGAGATCAAGGTGGCATATACTGATGTTATCCTGATTTTCTTTATGAAACAGTCTAGTCACAGGCTAGCCATAGGTTGAGATACAGCCAGGTCCAGTTCTGGGTTGTCCACACTTTTCCACCACCACATACTACAAGGATTGGGAACTGCGACTCCCATCGTCCCTTACTGTTGGCTGTGCTACCTAGAGTTGGGAAAAGTTGCAAGCTGTCACCATTTGGAGTGCCACAAGTTCCCCTATCTCTGAGTTAGTAAGATAAACTGCAACACTCAGCAAAACTTTGATGTACTTTAGGCTGCATCAAAGTGCATCAAACATAAAACTGCATCAAACATCTCTCTAAAACTGGCTATGTCTTACTAAAGCTACTAGTTCCAACCCTAAGAATCATCCTTATTTTCTGCATAATCCAAGCTGTTTCAGAGGTCTAGGTAACAGAGCCCCAGAATATGGCATTTCCGTACCTATATAATGTACATATACTGCATCTCCGGTCTACTTTGAATAGGGAATTTTTGTAACCTTACTCCAGCATCAGGCAGGGTCTTACTCTTGGAGAAAGCAAATTACAGTACAGTACTAGTATAGAGTTTTAGGTTGCATTTAAAGGTTTTCATCAAAGAAAAACAATGAAGAATCACATCCCAAGATGACACAACCATTCTAAAATCTTCAGCTGCCTTCTTCACCTTGACAAATAGAAACGTTTTCTTCCAACTTCCTTTGGCACTGTAGTTGTTCTCAACCTTTGTGGTAAGGTTTCTGGGAGTTTTAGTCCAGTAGTCTATGCTCTACTGTGCTCTACATGGGGCTGCCTATGGAAAGGCCATTCTAAAATCTTCAGCTGGCTTCTTCACCTTGACAAATAGAAACATTTTCTCCCAACTTCCTTTGGCACTATAGTTGTTCTCAACCTTTGTGACCTTAGTCCAAGAATACCTCTATGCTCTACATGGGGCTGCCTATGGAAAGTGTCAGGAAACTTCAGCAGGTCCAGACTACAGTAAGCAGATTGTTGACTGGGGCTGGTTATAGAGATCACATAACTGCCCTGTTATAGGTTGCCAGGTTGTTTTTGGGCACCATTCAGAGTGCTGTTTCTAACCTATAAAGCCTTAAACAGCTTGCATCTAAGCCCTAGGTTCCCAGCCTTTGTTACTCGGATGTTTTTGAACTGCAACTCCCAGAAACCCCAGCTAGCACAGTTGGTGGTGAAGGCTTCTGGGAG